ACGCTTCTCTTCTATCTCTCTCCTCCTCTCTCTCTCTCTAATAAGCTACAGATGGCATCATTCAATTTTTTCCTATTATTTTAAAATCATTTCTCAATTAAATTTTTTGTTTTACTAATAATATTAATTAGTAATATTAATTATTCGAATAAAATTATAATATATTCGATTATTTTCTTTCCTTTTTATTTCATTCAATTCTTGCTTGTTTTTAATATTTTTCCTTTCTTTTTATCATATAATTAATAGAATGAAATCACTAATTGCCAAAATGTATTACTCCAATACTGAAATTGTTTAGGCGAAAGAAATTTTAATGATATTTCGATTTCTAAAAAATTAAATAATATTTCAATAAAATTAATTGTTAATTAATGAAAACTGTTAAGATTGAATTAAATTATAAATTAATTACATTTATTAGGATTGAATTTAATGAACATTTTCCATCATTAAATCGTCACAATCCATACTATCAACATTTTACAATACGTTTGAATGGAACAAAACCAACGATTGGTTTCTTAGAATTTTATAATGCAACAATAAATCAATGGATACCATCATGTGATCGAGAATTTACCTTAAGAAATGCTCAGGTATTTCTTTCTTTCCCCTTCTTCTATTGCAAATTTTCCTTTTTCTTTTAAGTATTATAATTAAAAAATTAAAAAATTAATAATTAAATCTTGAATGATTAATGATGAAAATGTTTGAAAATTCATCAAATTTTACTATTAGATTAAAGAAAATTATAAAAGGATGTGCAAAATTTATTAATGATTCAATTAAATTTAAACATTAATAATTTTTTTTAATAAAAAAAATTTGCTATATGCTTTATATTTTAGCAACAACAAAACTTTTTTTAATTTAATTTAATAATTAAACATTAGTGAAATCAAATTTAAACATTTATGATATTCTTGGAAATAGAAGAAAAAAAACGGAAGAAGCTTTACTCCATGCTGTATATTTTAGTAACAAAAAAGAAACTTTTCGATTTTAAATTTTTTAAATTTTAATAATTTATTATTAGAAGACAAAGGATGTAATTTCAGGTTGTATGTCGTGAGCTTGGTTTTGATAGTGCAAATGTTTATGAATGGTTAACACCACGTTGGAATTACAATCCAAAAATAATACTTTCGAAGAGTTATGTTACACCACGACAATGTATGGGAATGGAATTAAAACTTGACCATTGTCCAGTACGAATGAGTAATAATTTAAGTATGTGGCAATGTATCGATAATGAGCATTTTAATTATATACATTGTGGTAAGCAAACTACTTTAAACAGGTATAGCTTTATAAATCTTATAATTGTGTTAGAATTTATTCTATAAATTGAAATTGAAAAAAAAAGCGTTACAATTTCCAATTAAATTTTTTAATTTTTTTCTTGCTTGTTAACTAATTAATGTTAATTAACTCTTAGCCTGTTGGCTACTAGTTTTTATTTCATTTCTCCTAATTTATGCTGAAAAAATGGAGGAGAGAAATATGGATGATGAAGTTTTGCTTAATTGTATTAAATAAAAGTTAGATTAGTGGAAAATTTTTTTTTAGAAGTGAGATTAGATTATTTTAGTAAATCTAAATCTAAAATAAAATTGCATTGGAATCATTTGCAATTATAATAATTATTAAAGAATAGTAATAATTGTTATAATTCATAAAAATACAATTTATAAATATAATTAAATTAATTCATAAAATAGCAATAATTGTTATAATTAATAAAAAATACATTTATAAATATGATTGAATGGATAGACAATTCCTTTGAAAAATGGATAGAATTGAAAAGGTCAGATTATTTGAATAAATTTAATTAATTGGACTTTTTGAATGAATTTACTGAATTTTGAAAAAAAAAACAAAAAATTTGTAGGAATAAATCATTTGAATTATTATAAAATGTTACTGGAAATAGAAAGATAAGTGGAATTGGAAAGATAAATTAGATTAATTGAACAAATTTAATTAATTAGACTTTTTGATTCAGAAGATTCACTTTAATGTGAAAAAATTGAGTAATGATTATTTAAACTTTTTGAAATTATTAGGGCAAATCCACGAATTAATTAAAACGAGTGGTTAAATTTTTTTTTGATCAAATCTAAATGTAGAGGTTGAATGATTGTTTTATTTGCTTATACAAATTAGGAAATTAAAGAAAATCTTTCGCGCTAATTAAATTAATGTATATGTGAGTTTCTTAATTACAATAAGGAAGAACTGATAGATAGGATCGGAAAGAATTTAATTATAAGATTCTGATAATTATTTTAATTATTTTGATAATTTTGGATTATTAATAATCGTTTGATTATTTTGATTAATGATTGATTATTTTAATTTCACAGTAATTATATTGGTAATTGGGGTGGTATTACAATTACGCATGGTAGTATTGATTATGTGCAAAGTAATACAACAACAGGTTGAGTTTATTTAATTATTAATTTCCACTTTTTTCATTCCTTTAACTTATTTAATTTCATTTCAATTTCAGTTCAATTAAGTGTGGTGCATTATCAACTCACATATTTTTTCTTTTTTTTTAATTTCGAGCGATTTTAATCAAAATGTAATCATTCAATAAATAGATTTGTTTTTTTCCAAAAGAAGAACTTAAAATAAATAAATGGACAAATTAATAATTTTTTTCACTTTATTTCATTCCACTTCAATTAAATTTAATTTCATTCAATTCCATTCAATTCAAACGCTTGTATTTTTAGCAATTTAAATTGTAGTATATGCTATAATTCACAATTACAGTTATAAAAATTGAATTCCATTCAATTTAATTCCGTTCAATTCAATTCAAATGCTTGCAGAACAATCGATATTGCGAAATGTTGAAATTGTTGGTGGCGGCTTAGCTCATAATGAGACAATTGATGTCGCAGCGGTATTATCTATTGGACATAATCCGATATTTGATCATGTTAATATCACAAATTCATCCATGCATGGATTACAGGTTTTCATTTTTAAAAAATGGAATTAAAATTTTATAGTTTAGAATGAAAAAAGAATTTTAATTTGAAATTGATAAATTTGTAATTTGTTTTAAATAAACCAAAAAAATACGAAATAAATAATGACAACACATACTAGCATAGTTAAATATTTAATATAAAAATACGATAGTTTCAAAATTATTACCAAAAACAATTATTAATATTAAATTTCATGGATAATCAATAATTCGATTTTTTGAAATTATAATATAGAATAGACAATTAGCTAAAAATGATTGGTAATTAGTTTGGTAACCATGTGAAATTGTGATTTGGAATTTATTTTGAACTAATTAAAATTTGCATTATTAATGAAAAATTAATTAATTGTAAAATTTATGAATAAATCTTTTTGAGAATTACATTTTTGTTTTCTGAGGTATAGGAGGAGATTTTTTTTTGTTATTGACTTTATAGATTCTTATTCCACATAATGATATAATTTTGAACAAACTTAATATAACACAAAATCGTGGTTATGGTATGAGTTTATGGTTATCGAATTTGCAACGCTCAGGTGGAAATTCGGGTAATTTTTATAGTTTTCAATTTTAGTATTATTGAAATAAGCTTTTGTTTTTTTAAACAAAACTTATAAAATAATTGAAATTAATACTGTCAAGTATAAATTTAACACTATTTCAATCACAATAAATATTTCCTATAATTTAAATGTATTTAATACATGAATGATTCAATTATAATTGCATAAATTTTTGATTGTTATTTTTTTCAAATATTTGTAATACGATATTTTGTTATTACAGTATGTTGCTGTACAGAAATGATTAAATTTTTTTTAGCAGGTGTATTAGGAATGATGAATATCATACCGTATAATGCTCGTGGTTTATTGGATATTTGCGCAGCGCAGAAACAATTTGATATTACAAATCGTATAATAATGTTCTATAAGTATGATTCGCATACTGTAGATTGTGTCAAAATTTTTACATCATCAGAACGAAACATTGGATTTCGATTTCTTTTGGTAAAAATAAATGATGAAAAAATTTTTGACTGAAATTTTATAAATAATATGCATTAGTTGGAATTATTTAATTTAAATTAAGTTAATTTCTGTAATAGTTTTTAAGGGAAAAATCAGAAATTTTGATAAATATTTTTGTTCAATTTCAAATATTATATTTGCATTTAAGCACCGAATTTTAAAGTCCTATTTGATAATTTTAGTATTTCGTCCTCTATATTTTCCAAAAGTTTATTAATTGTAAATCAATTAACGAATTGTTTCTTTTTCATGCAACCACAGCTACATTTTAGTCCCATGCAGGAAATTCAATTACTTAATATAATTAATAGGTATTGGATTACAGATTAATCTTTATGATGGCTCTCAAATGAATCTTGGTCGTTTGGATTCAATTACATTATATAGTGATGCCAAATTTACCCAAAGTATACATCAATTTACTTCGCAAACATCAGACTGGTCATTAAATGTCCAAGCACAATCACTTTTGGCTATTCATATGCGTGCTAATGCAGCTAATGGTATTTATGGATTTATTGCTGAAATTACTGTTACTCCAACACTAACTCAAACGTGTAAGTATCTTCTATTTAATTACTTAATTAGTTGTATAAATACGACATAAATTGATTATTTCTACAGGTAAACTATGAAAGTACCCTACATTATTCATACAGTTTTATCATAAAACATTCTCCAAGTTATGTTTAATTTGTTCAAAAATTTCGCATGCAAATTTTCATAATAATTTTTAATATTGAATTTATTTGTATATAAATCAAACGGCTTTAATTTTTTGATTAATCTTTTTAAAATTTATCAATTTATTTAAATCAAGTAATTATATAAGCATGGTTAATGGGATAGAATCCGATATTGTTCATATAATATCATTGAAATGTAATTAAAGACTTTTGTTGTTCATGTAATTAATTTAATTTGATATGCAAACCTTTGCATTGATTTATAATAATTAGAAGTTTTCTTTAATATGTTAAATTTAATATTTCTTTGGGAAAAAATGAAAAATTCCAATTATTTCTCTTCTTTTTTTTTTTATAGATGGATATCATTTGACAAGTTTTTCTTATAGATGCAACAGATGAAGTTTTAATACGACATAGTCGTCTAGAACAAAATGATCGTGGTGCGATAATTTATCGTAATACGGGTGAAATAGGACCTAATCTTATAATTAGCAATTGTATGATTCAAAAAAATGGTTATTATTTATTTGGTAATATTAGTACAACAAATTATGCTATTCAATTACACTTCCATAATACAATGGTTGGTAACATATTGTAATTTTTACTAATTTTTATTATTTACCATTTGCTTTTATAATTTTTCATCTTCATACCATTATTACTATAATTTATTACCGTATGCTGATACCGTATGCAGCTATTGTAATTTTTTTTGGAAATTTAGTAGAAACATGTCGTGGTTTCAATTGGTTGAAACCTTAATGCTTAATTTTTATTATTTATCAATTACTTTTATCATTTTTTTATTCTCTATCTATTAGAAAATTATGCCTTTTTTATATATTTGATTGTCACTACTGTGATTTGCTACCGTATCCCGTTACCATATAAAATTATTGTATTTTCTTCAAAAACATGGTCAAAATTTATTATGATGATCATATTTCTCATTTTCCCTTTTATTGATTACAGTTAACACAATTTCGTAACAATTTATTAATGGATAATATTGGTGGATTGTGGATGACAGCGTTGACAACAAGTCCAATGGCTCGATTAACTGTAATTATCCGAGAATGTGCTTTCATGCATAATTTGAATGGTACTATTCTTACTTTCTTAGGAAATGGTAATCAGGTTAGTTTCACTTTTTCTTCTTTCTCTGTCTCCCTCCCTTTTTATCCTTATCTTTCTATCCCTTATGTTATCTAAGGTGTAAAATCTTAGACTGTTATTCTAATCGTTTACTAGAAATTTTTTTTTCTGGAATTTTCCCTTTTTTTTTGGATTTTTCCATAGTAGATATTTTCCGGAATTTTCTGTAATATATATTTTTTGAAATTTTCCATGGCGAATTTTTACTGGAATTTTCCATAGTAAATATTTTTTCCGGAATTTTCTTGATAGATATTTTCTACATTTGTTCGACTTAAATTAGGTCATCATTGGGTTCTATTACTTGTAACAACAACCAATTATCATTTATGGATCAAATCAATATTCTTATTTAAAATAATTTTTATGTTTAATATATCTGTTGAAGAAAAAAAAAGAAAAAAAGAATTTTTTTTAGTCTTAAAATAAATAATTTACTTATAGGATTGAATTTCTAAGAAATAAAAAATATAAAGTGTTTCTAGTAATTGCTAACTATCATCCGCTTTAGATTAATCAATTTTTATTTCTTTATTGCTCTTATCAAATTTTTTAATCATCACCTTATCAATTCATTATTGAAACATTACTAATAACAATTCTTTTTTCTTTTTTTTGTAGAAATTATGGTTGTTCAATAATTTGATCAGAGGTAATTATGCGTTACGTCACGATACAGTATTCCTAAAAGGTATTACGGCAAATTTGACGCGTAATCTATTTGCTAACAATACAGGCTTGCATAATCTTGATTTACGACCTAATTTACCAGATTCGTTAGATTCATATGTATTATATAAAAATTGGTTTTATGATAACATTGCTCTTGGACATGGCTATCAATATCAGGTTTCATTTATTTTTTTATCACTGTAATTTAAATCTTATCTTAACTAAAAAAAAATGCAAATTTTCAACATCAAGTTTAATTCATTTTCACTGCTCTATTTGTTTTGTTTTAATTTAATTTAAATCTTATCAACTTTTTGTCTTTACAGAAAAAATGCCTTTCTTTTTACCTAAATTATTTTTTTGATAATTTCATTATATGAATTGTCTCCAATATAATTTTCATTTTATCAACTCTATTCCTATTCGTAAAAAAGAAAAATATTTTTGTTAACTGTTTAGTAAAATTTTCAGGAGCGATACGGATATCAACCGGATTATTTAGCAGATGAATTTATGCGCCGACCTAAACGACAAATAGTAATGGAAGGTGTAAGTTTTGATTGGTGGACTCATATTGGTACAAAATCGGAACGTTATCGAAGTACAGTATATGCGGGCATTTCAAATGTACTGTATCGTGAAAATACATTCAACAATCCGATTAATCCATATGAATTGGTTGCAGGAAAAATGACTGGGTAAAAAGATTATATCCTATCTATTGATTAGTTCTAATAAAAGAATAAGATACTTTGACGGAATTTTGTTTGCTATCATTAAATATCTGTTATATTTTTCAGTAATGATCAAGCTTGTATTAGGTTAAAAAAATTAATTATTATATGACAGTTATTAATTATCAGCTAATAGATATTCCACTCAGTTATCAAGTAAAATTCACTATTCAAAGCTTCAACATGAAGATTTCAATAGAAATGCTAGGGATTGTGGAGGTCATAGTTTAAGAACTTAATGATTGACATTTTTTACAGGCTTTTTGCAAAAATTTAGCTTGGTAATACAGTTATCCATCGTCATTCAATGATCATAATCATAATAAATTTCACTATTTGATAGGGTAAAGGTCAACATATCGTTATGCGTTTTTTTTTCTTTCACCTTTTCTGAAAACAGCACTTTTGATCAATCAACAATTCGATTACAGTTTGAGTTCAAATTTCAGAATTTAAATACTATGAAATTTCTTATAGCCCAGAAGGACATACGATTGATGCAAGAGAAAATTATTGGGGATATCCAGGAACAGTTAGTGTTGCAAGTGGGAAGATTCGTGATTATCATGATTATGAATATTTAATTCGGGTGGATTATGTACCAGTTCTTGAATCAAATGCATCGCTTGTTGAAGGTAAATTATATTAATTGATGATAAAGTGATTAAAATAAGAATTTCTCCCTTATGTTTAGAACTTATTTACAATAAATTATTACAAAGAAAATAAAAAATTCTGTAAAACATTCATTATCATTCATTAACATCATAATCATAATCATAATCATAATCGTAATCATAATCATAATCATAATCATGATTTAATAATTCTTCTAACATAATAATGAAATAGATTTCATAACTTAATAACATACTTCATAATATTTATTTGTTTATTTTTTGCATAATGTTATAACTGATAACAAACATTTTTTCAGCTGAAACACTTAGATTATGTATAATTTTTGTTTTCTTGCTTAATCAAATTATAAGTATTTAATTTAGAATTCAAGAAATTGATTGAATAAAAATTAAAGTTTTTATTTTCGATTGATATAATGATAGGAAAAATTGAAGCAAAGTGATATTTATTTGTTTTAAGGTGATTGTCCAGCTGGATGGTTTCAAATTGGCAAAGACGAATTTAAATCCTGTTTTCTATACAGTGGTGCAGCAACCACTTATATGGCTGCTGTCAAATTTTGTCAGGTATGCCATACATTTATATATTCCAGGTTAATTCATTTTTGTTGACCAGTGAACATATTTAATTACAGGAAGTGATAATGACGATTATGTTGATGAAAATGATAGTAGTGATAGCGGCAATAATAATATCAACAATATTGATAATAATAATAATAATAATAATAATGATAATAATAATAATAATAATAATAATAATAATAATAATAATAATAATAATAATAATAATAATAATAATAATAATAATAATAATAATAATAATAATAATAATAATAATAATAATAATAATAATAATAATAATAATAATAATAATAATAATAATAATAATAATAATAATAATAATAATAATAATAATAATAATAATAATAATAATAATAATAATAATAATAA